CATGGTCCTTGTTAATGTCCTCCATTAATGAAATGGAGTTACTAGAATTACCCATTCTCTTAAAATTACGAACAATGGATTCAAGATTCAAATTAAATGGGACAATAGTAGGATTTAACGACCTACGACCATGCATGCACAAACAAAACAAAAACAAGTAATAAGCAAGTAGCAATCATTTCTCCTCCATAACAAATCAATCAAGAAACCTCCACATACAATGTTCCCATACTCCCATGCTTTGAACAATATGCAAGAAAAGTAAATTGCCTTCACGCGGGCTTACGATCTAGCTAAGAATTTAAAAACTTGCCTCCACGCGGGCCGACAATTTAACAAGAGAGAGTTAGAAAAGTTCACAAAGGATCCTTAAGCAACTTCAAATGATTTTTCAATTTTTGCCTTGCTTTGCTTTGCAATTTTTTTAGATTTTAGCTTTTTGCACTTTTGCTTAGCTTAGCTTACCTCTTTGCCTTTGAATTTCCCTTTGCTTCACTTCCCTTGGCTCAATTCACCTAGCTAATCAAGAACAAACACAATAAGCAACCAAAATAAAAATAAAAACAGGATAAAAAAGGTACTAATTCCTAATTGATTTCCAAAATACGACGATGCCAAATCCTCGGCAACGACGCCAAAAACTTGGTGTGTCGTGAACCAAAGCACAAAATAGTGTAGTGTGGCCAAGTTTAAATTTATAGAATGCCACTATGTGATACCCCTCGACTCCGAGACATGGGTTGATTAGGCCGAAGCCCAAACCCGAGAGAATACCAAACAATTAATATTAAAATAAACACAGAATACAAAAGAATTTAATGAATAAATAATAAAGCTGAAGGAATTCTAAATATAAAATCCTCAAAAGGTTATAGATTAATATAATTCAAACTTCCCAAAACCTTCAATACGCACAACTCGGGAATCCATCTAGTGGACCCCTAATAAAATGCCAATATAAAGTAAAGCACGGAAACCAAAACTAAAACATGAAAGGAAATTCTACATCGTCAGAAGAATGAATGACCGTCTCTGCTCAGCCCGAACAAGTTCTAAGACTGGAACCGTGCGATACCTGAAAAATGATAGTGGGTCAGGCCCACGAACAAGTTATATTCTAACTACAATCCAAACAGAAACCCAATACGTAGATATATCCTAGATATCTCAACAATATCTATCTAGTCCATACAAATATATATCCACACTAAGGGACTCTCACTGGACTACAAAGGGGATCTCAACCTGAATAGAAGGCAACATGCAAAACGCACCAGAGGTGGGCATGAGTACCAAGACCTAATAGGGTATACCTCAACCATCATAGCCAGTTATGCATCCCAATGCATATACGCTCCCTAACCATCGATTCTGAGACTCAAGCTCAAATCGTGGTACCATAGTCATATATTTAAAGTCCATCTAAAATCAGGGTATGTCATTCAATTATTTATTGATCTGACATAAATAACAACTAATCGATTTAGTCACTCAACTTATTCAGTTGATCTGACCTAAAGACAAATAACAAATAATCCAGTTAGTCATTCAACTTTGTTCAGCTGATCTGGCTTAAATATAAGTAGGATTTAATTTTGTAATCCATTCCTTTATTCTAGAGTAGGTAGGACTTAGTATTTTGAACTAGTCCGTCCCTAGTATGCCATCGTCCCATACCGGTGCATACAATCCACTCCCTTAATTGATAAACAGATATAAATATTTCCTCAATTAAAATCCAAAGCTTATGCATAATAAAAATTTGATATATAAATAATCATATTATGCATCCAATTCAAGACTTAGAAATTATGTCACAACTATTTAAATCACCAAAATAATAATAAGCAATTTAATCCTTCATGTCCACTAACAGCATGCAAACTTATTTAAACTTCCATACTGTTCAAATCAATAGTATATAGATTAAGATTATGCATCACGGAATCCTAACATGTCATGAAAAATAATTTAGAATTCCCTTTACCAACCCAAAACAGTCCTGAAATTTTAAAAAATTCAAAACTGTGCTTTTAAAAAAATTCCCGTAAGTTACTATGCAAGAGAGCTTGCTCTTAAAATGAGAGAGTAAGCTCCCACACAAGGGAGCCGGCTCCCCTACCTTAGGAGCCGGCTATGTGACCTAGAGACCTGGCTCCCTAATTCCATGGAGCCGGCTCTCTCTCTCACAGAGAGCCGCGGGCTAAAAATAAAAGGGAGCCGGCTCTTTCCCCTTAGGAACCGGCTCTGTCCCTGCTTCTGGTCATCATCTTCGTCTCCGTTAACGTTAAAAACTCTCTGAAAACATTAGTTCAAGTTCCTAGAGGTCCGACTAAGTCCCAAATCATCCAGAAAAATCATACATCTTAGTACGCATCATTACAATATTTAAAACAGAAATCGAAACAAGTTATCCAATAAATCAAATTCAGTTAATCAACGCATATATTACAATTTAAAAGCTAAATTGACATGCATACTTAATTGCTTTTAATATCTGTTTAGTTCCTGAAGACTACCTAGGCATGCACAGAACACAGGTCAAAGGAAAAGAGTAAGAAATAGAACTTGCCTCTAATTTCAATTTTGAAACCTTAACATCGTTTTCCTAATTTTTCCGGCAATTCGAGACTGTTCTCAACTCCTTTATTGCTCCTGGTTCAACCCACAAGCAAGCTTCCAATACCCTTCCTCGGTTCAACCCTTGATCCTAGCCAAACCCTTACTTTCCCTCTCTCTGTTTTTCTCTCAAACCTCACTATTCGTGAATTCTCTATATACGTGAATAGGGTTTTTTTTTTTTTTTAACCCTAGGCAGACTTATAATGACATATATATAGGCTTCTAATAAAACCTAATTCTAGTCATGTGAGGAGTGTAATACCCCTAATTTTAAAAGGATAGTCAGGGTATTTGTTTAATTATTTAATTACGATTTAATTATTTAATTGTAAATTTGGTGATTTATTTAATTGTGAATTTGGTAATTTAATTGTGAATTGGTTGAGAATTATTTAATGACTTGGTTTTGTTTTGTTTTATTTAATTGTTTTGTTTTAATTGTTGTTTAATTGGATTTATTTTATTTTATTTTATTTGACTTAATTATATCTTTCGTTAAATGTGTTTTTGTTAAATTAGGTTTTTAGACGTCACGTATGTAGTCGACATAGTTAAGCATTGATTAGGTTTTCTATGGGCCGACTAAGGATTAGTGTAGGGTTTGAATTAAATTAGGGTTTTGTGTAAACCTGTAAACCTATAAATATATGTAATGAGCGTCTGCCTAGGGTTTTCGAACCATATTCACGGCATACTAAAAGCAAGAAACGTATAGAGAAGTCTGGGACAAAACCAAAGGATCGCCGGAAAAGCTTAGGAGAAAGACGTTGAGGTTTTTGAACCAAATCTCACAAGCAAGCTTTATACTAACTCTATCTCTTTGGCCTGTGTTCTTTGCATTCCTAATACAGTCCCAGGAAGAAATTAAGATAAATTAATTTGGTTGCCCTGTTATTTATTTCAAAATAGTATGTCTTCCTTTATGTGAATGCTAATCGTTTTTAAATTCTTTTTGCTTAGTTCTTATTCCAGTTGAATTTGGTTAATGATCAATGAATTTAATTAACTTTGGATCACCCTAGGACTTAGTTTAATCAGTTAAAACATAATTTAAAAGTGTTAAAGGCTGTAACAGAGAGGAACGAAAACAATGGAGATCACCGGAGACAAAACAAGCAACCAGGAAGAGAGGGGAAAGAAGAGGCGGCTCCATAAAATCATGGAGCCAGCTCAAAGAAGGTTGGAGGCGGCTCCATCATGTTTGGAGGCGGCTCCAACTTGGTTGGAGGCGGCTCCTTCGACGATTTCCAGTTTTTCGACTTTTTTGCGAACCTAGGCTGCTGTGGTTTAATTTTTAAGGTCCTAGGCTGATTCAAGAGCTATTCTAGGGTCATTCAATAAGGTAAGAACCCTTGTTAAATGGGCAGAAGGTATGGTAATTCATAAGATACCATAGGAAGCTGAAATAGGGTCACAGTTTAACCCTTAGGGAAGCTTTCAGTTTAAACTTTGTTGCGGACGATTCAAGTTGTTTAATTTTCTAAATTAGCAATTGAATTAGGAGTTTGATATGTAAATCATATAACAGTGGTATGAGATTAAGCCTGTTAACTAATATAAATTCAGTTAATGCTTAATAAGAAACTAGTTGATGTTTACCAAGAATTGTTTATATCAACATGTGGGATGTTGTGGGGTAATTACAAGTAAACATATAATTACTATTAATATTATTATTATGCTTATTATGAGTTACAGGATGGTTATATTTATTATCTGCATTTAAAATTTGTTAGAGAATCAGGTATTGGACGTATTAAACAAGCATGCTAGTTAAATATTCTTGTTATGCTTATGATTGGATATGTTGATATTGATATGTTATGCTGTCATATATATATTATCAATACTGGATGGATGGTTTGTATACACCGGTATGGGACGGTGACATACTAGGGGGATTAGCTCAAAAAGAACGCTAAGTCCTACCTACTCTGGATTAAGGAATGGATTAACTACAAAAGTTAAGTCTTACCTGTATTTTTGTGTCAGATCACTAAAAAGTTGAGTGATACTTTGGTTTGGAATGGAATTTAAATATATTTTTATCGTGCCACGATATGAGCCTGATTCTCAAAGTCGTTGGTTAGGGAGCGTATATGCAATGGGATGCATAGCTGGCTATGATAGTTGGATGTGTACCTTGCTAGGTCTAGATAGTCATGTCCACCTCAGGTGCGTTTTGCATGGTGCCTACTAGTCAGGTTGAGACGGGCATGTAGTCCAGTGAGAGTCCTGTAGTATGAATATATATATATATATCTACAGACTATTTAGTTATTGTTGGAATGGTTAGGATGTACATACGTATCAGGCCTCTGTTTGGATTGTATTAGTATAGAACTTGCGCGTGGGCCTGACTCACTTCTATTTTTCAGGTTCACGACAGTTTCAGACTCAGACGTGTTCGTGCTGAGCAGAGGTTTTCTAATCACTCTACCGACGATGTAGGATTTCTCATTAAAGCTTACTTCTGGATGTTTTATCAGTTATTTTATTACTGTTTGAGTAGTTATTAGGGGTCCACTAGAGATGGATTCCCGAGTTGTACCCTTGGAGCTTTTAGATTATTGGGATTTAAGTTTTTATCTTTAAAGGATTTTATATTAGTTTCTTTCAGCTGTTTAATATTTATTCTTAATTCATTTTGTCATCTGTGTTCGTTATAAAATATTAATTGTTTGATATTCCCTCGGATTTGGGCCTGGGCCTAATCAACCCATGTCTCGGATCCGAGGGGTATCATAAGGAGTCGGCAAGAAAACAGACAAAAATATAAAATACATATATGTATATAAATCGGCAATTTTAATGAATATACATAAAACCCTAAAAAATTATATTACATATATAAAATAATGAAACTAATTTAATTATTAACAATTTCTAATAATTAAACTAACCAAATATACATATATATTCATATATACATGTATATTCATCCATGGGTAAAAACTATATCCATTTACACTATCCAAATAGTCCATTGATCATATCCAAGCCCAACTCCGTTTAAAATAAAAATAATATTAATTCAATGTACACCTATTTTATCAATTAAACAAATAAATCAATTTAAACAATTAAAGCAAATCCACATAATCATATAATTCAATTAAACATACAAATCAATTAAACAATTATTAAAATACACAATTTAACAAATAAATCAATTTGACAACTAACCAATTAACACATAGCGAAGTAAACACGTAATGAATTTAAAAGTTGCAAGAAAACCATAAAAGAAAATATCGAGACTATCCTTTTAAAATTAGGGGTATTACACACTACCACTACTAATTAAAAATATAGCTAGGGTGAGTATAGATCGTCCCAAGGGAAATGGAGTGTATTTATGCTTGGAAATCAAGGTCAGATTAGTAGGTCGAGTGATCAAAGATGGTTTGATTGGTTGATTAAACTACAATTTAAACTAATTAAAAGCAATGCGAAGTAAATAGGATAAATGGAGTGTAAAGAATATAAGAGAAATGTCTTGAGACTTAGAGTTCACCACTAAGCATCACCTTCTTAGACATTCAATGTTTGATGGATTAGGGGGATTATATGTTGTAATTGAAAGTGTGTGCCATTAATTGAATTAACAAGCATGGATGACCAAATAAGTATACATTGTCTAGCCAAACTAGTGAGTAGCACAACATATCAAATCAAGCCATTATTCCTTCCTTAAGGTTCACAATTAATGCACATCATCAAATTAGAGAAATATACTAATTGCATTCGTAAGCATGGAACATCAAACAACAAGTATGGATTATCCTCCCATCTAAGAAAGTAAGGCAACTACACTACAACTAAGCTAGGGACATGAAAATTAAACTAATTAAACTAAGGAGGAGGCACAATCCATCAAGAAATGAATATCAACCATCAAATAAACATCAACAGTATTCCATTTAAGTACCATGCCTTGACCATCACTAGATTCATAACATCAACACACATAGACATGCTTCAATATCACAAAATCTAGAGATAAACACATGAACATCCATTCTAACATACATAGACATATTAATAGAATTAAATGGTCAATTGGAAGTATTAAACTACACAAATCATTCTAGAAACAAGATTTATATAAATATTAAAGGTCAAGACAAACATTACAACACTAATCTCCATTAATTACAAAACATCAAAGTCTAAGAGGTATGCTTAGGGTTATCTCTAGCCTCAAGAGAATGGTTTAGCCATTTATTGATGTTGTCATCCAACCCTCAAGGGCTATCTCCATGGTAGAGCTCATCTTCCTCCTTGGTGGAAACCCTAGATAAGTAGAAGAACTTTCCCAATTTGTGTATGTCTGTAATACCCATAATTTTAAAAAAGATATTCCTGGTATTTAATTTATTATTTAAGTGCATTTTACTTTATTATGTGTCATTATTTTTTTTATTAGGTGCTTAATTGTTTTCTTTTGTGGTGATTTAATTTATTTCTTTTGTAGTGTTTTAATTATTTAATTGGCATTAATGGTTTAAGTGTAATTGGTTTAGTTATTTGATTGGAATTACTTGTTAGTGTTTTAATTATTTAATTGGCATTAATGGTTTAAGTGTAATTGGTTTAATTATTCTATGTGTGTCTTATTTTATGTGTGTCTTATTTAGTTTAATTGGGTTTACTAATTATTATTTTGTTCAATTAGATTATTTGTTAAGTATTTAATGGTGAATAGGGTAATTAGGTAAATACATCTAACTAGGGTTTTAATTACAGTATAAATTAGGGTTTTATATTATAGCCGTCGTAGATTTTTACGTTAATTGGATGAGCCGGTTAGGATTGTGAGTTGGACTTAAATGAACCTAGGGTTTAGGAAAACTCTATAAGTATAAGGTAGACGTCTGTGTAGGGTTTTTTTTAAACAAAACACACGTTTTGTGGAAGTGGAGAAGGAAAAATGCAGTTTTTCACATTCTGCCAAGGTTTGATCAAAGCTCCGATCCTACTTTGGTCCGATCGAGCTGAATTTTGGAGGAGAGGTTCACGACTCAGTGACGCACAATCTGAACGGTGAAGATCAGAGTTTGACCTCGAGAACAGTGATTCGTACTCGTGAACAGTAACTGGGTCGCACAGGTTTTTTTCCATTCTGCCCAGATTTCATCAAACATCCGATGCCGCTTCGTCCGTGGTCCGATCGAGCTAAAATTTGGAGGATAGGTTCACGACTCAGTGTTGCACAATCTGAACGGTGAAGATTAGATTTTAAGTTTGGGAATAGTATTTCGTACCCGTGAACAGTAACCGGGTTTTGGAACTCGCCGGGATTTTTTAAGAAGACGACGTTGAAACTTTGAACAAAAGTTTCTGAGGCAAGATTCTATCCTTACTCTTTCCCTTAGGCTTCATACTCTTTGCACTCTTAAATAATTTCAGGATTAATGAAGATTAAACCAAACTAAAATGATATCTGTTTTGCTATGAAACTGGTAGTTACAGTAGTGTTGTATGCTTGTTCAACCTAGACTAAGCATGTTTGTGGATGCATTGTGGTTCTGTGGTTCACGTTTTTCCTTACCACTGCTAGTATAAATTATTGGAAGGATGGGTCTAGATGATAGCTATCTTAACTTCTGTAATAGCAACTGTTGGAACTTAAATACTAGGAGGATTTGAGTTTAACACTAGATCGGTTTTGTGGAACACTATAATTTGAGCATGTCTACATACATACTGTGAATATTGTTTTGATGCTTACATTATCACAGTTAGTATCAATTGTGGAGGTTATGATTTTGTGATACATACCCTACATATCTGTATGTCATTTGTAAGGTGTTAAATGTAAGTTTTAATTAATTCTGTCTTTATATCAGACTAAAGGGAACAACTTAAATTGGGCATGTATATGTTTTTGTTGTGACCCTGTTTATCAATGCTTATTTTATCACTGCTAACATTGAATGTTGGATGTTGGAATTTAGTTGATATATACTTGATTTATTGGTATTATTGACTACTGGAGGATTGGAAAGTAGGCACCGGTATGGGACGGTGGCATACTAAGGATGGGTTTGGTTTTTAAAACAATACCATTACCCACCTACTTGGAATAAGGATGGGATTAACTAAAAGTTAAGTCCCGTGGATTTGTATTGTCATGGCAACTACTTGTTGAGCGGCAATACCAGGGATTTTATATATGTACTGTTATGGTGCCTCGGTATGAGCTTGAGACTCAGGACCGATGGCTAGGGAGCGTATATGCATCGGGATGTGTAGCTGGCTACGATGGTTGGAAGTGTACCCTGTTTAGGTATAGGTACATATGCCCACTTTGTGTGCGTTTTAGCATGTTACCTCTATTCAGGTTGAGACCGGCCTGTAGTCCAGTGAGAGTCCTTTAGTGTGACTATATATATATTTACGGACTTTTAGCTATTGTTGAATTGTTTAGGATGTACATGCGTATCGGGCCTCTGTTTGGATTGTAGTAGTATAGAACTTGCGCGTGGGCCTGACCTACTTCTATTTTTCAGGTACACGACAGTTCCAGGCTTAGACGTGTTCGTGCTGAGCAGAGGTCTCTATTCATTCTTCCGACGATGTAGGGCTCTCTCTATAGTTTTATTTCTGGACGTTTATTACAGTTATTCTATCTTCCGTTTGGATGTTTAATAGGGGTCCACTAGAGATGGATTCCCAAGTTGCAAACTGATGGAGTTTTGGAGTTTGGGTTTGAGGGATTTTAATAATTAATAATATTTTGCGGATTCTATTTTTAGTTCCTTCCAGCTTTAATTTCATTTCTTAATTTATTTTGTATTCCGTGTTCATTATAAAATATTAATTGTTTGATATTCCCTCGAGTTTGGGCCTGGGCCTGATCAACCCATGTCTCGGATCCGAGGGGTATCTCAATGTCTTTCTCTAATCTCTAGCCAAATATCTCTCTAACTAACCTCTTATGCTCAAAATAGCCAAAATCCTTATATAGATAGCTCTAAGGTCACATCCAAGGTCAACCCTTGTGCACTAGGACCTCCAAATGATTACACCACGAGCACACATTTAATTTGGCTTGAAATCACACGCAACTTGAAGCAGTTCGATCGATCACGAGGTTGCTTCGATCGATCGAACTAAGGCGGTGCCTTTTTGGAATAAAGACAAGGCTGAGATATTTTTGGGATATTTTGGGAAAGGACAAAAGTGGTAGGTAGGGATAAGATCAAAAGAGTTCAATTGATCGAAAGAAATGTTGGATTGATCGAAGAAGATATTTTGCTGAGGATAAGGACAAAAGGCTCGATCCATCATGGCATGGTTGGAACGATCACTGTGTGATCTATCGGAGCTTGGTTCGATCGATCGAAGAATGTTGTTTTGCACAACTTTGCTCATTTCTTCCACTAAGCTTGAGATTGCATCTTTTATGCTCTAATTCAGCTGAATTGACTTATTTTGGGGATAAATGCCTGAAAAAGAAAATAACATGAAATTAGATTAAAACGGTAAAATAAGATAGATTAAGGTCCTAGAATACTCAAGCTTAAGGGGTTTAAATGTACACTTTTTAACGCTTATCACGGATCTTGGAAATCTTCAAAACAAAGTTGTATTGCCAGATCCACTATG